ATTCTGTCAGTAGTATACTCTGTATATGTTTCCTTTTTCAAAACGATATAATCTAAATTTAATTTAAAATGCCATGTAGTTCACATTCATTTAAAATAAATAGGACATTTCCATCATTAGTAATGTAGTTGTGGTAATAACATACAGTCATGTTGTACACCAATTACAGGACTTTGTTAGCTTTCATGTTTATATGGTACTGAAGTCCTACACAATTTAAACAAGTCCCTGACCTCGTACAACATCAATAACAGGAGTACTTTGCACTCATACATCATCTCTCATCTCAGAGTGCTTCTGACACATGAATTTTCATTACATCTACATACAGGTAGGTGTCTAGGCACACTTCAAAGGCAGGGAAACTGTGCCATGGAAAGGTTACACAACTTGGCACAAGTCCCTGGTGAACAGCTGGGAATGTGAACTCTCCCATTACTTGTTTTGAATGTCCAGACAATAATGCTTACCCCAAAACCAAGCTTCATAAGGCATTAATCAAAATGTTTAACCCCCTACCAAGTTTGCAAATGGCATGGGCAGACAATAAGCTCACTAATTCTTTTTGATACATTATTCATGACTTGTTTTCCTTTTCTGGCAACTTTCATTTTTTAAGTAAAAAAAAAAAAAAAAAACAACAAACAAACAAAAAAAAAACCCCCAAAAAAACAGACCAAAAAGCCCCAACCAAATGCAAGAAAAAGCTGCAATTACTGCAAAATAATTTGGAATCCGAAACACTAGGCATTTATTTTATGGCTCATCTGTTGGATGTCAAACACTACAACATGGGCAACGTATGGCAAGTTCTCTGCAGGGACCAGAGCACCTGAGTGACCTTCAGAGAAAGTGGCAGCAGGGCTGTGCTTGCTCGGTTTTAGTTTCCAAGGGCCCACAAGCCACTGGACACCGTGTCTGCATACCTAAGTTTTGTTGGCATGCTGAACTGCCCAGCCAACAGCTACTGACAGCGACACAATGATCCGGGGCTGGCTACACGATAGCTTCAAAGTTAAAAAACCCAAATAGAAAAACCCTCCTAGTGTTCCCATTGATAATTAAGGGACTACTGCAAACAGGCCTTGAGATTGAAATACTGCTCTCTTCCTGGCTTTGCCATCCCATGAGCATCAGAGAGAGTTACCAGCCACGCTTGCAAACTGTATTCGGCGCTGCCTAGGGTTGAGTCCGCACTTCTGACAAAGTTAGTGAATTCATGCACACCTCAGCTTTCCCCCTTTGCAAAAATGCTGATGCAAGTGCACACTTATGTCACAAGTCAGGCCACCAGAATTTATGTGAGCAGCTCTGGAACTGTGTTAAAAGGAAAACTGATGTGGGTGGTGATGGAGTTTTGAGCCCACAGGGTAGCAGTGTGGTTATTTGCTGGTTGAGTTGTTTGGGGTTGTGCTGCTCTCCATCACATGGGAGGCATTTATTTATTTATTTCTAAGCAAGTACATCCAACATTTTCCAAGAGAACCAGAATTTTTCATGTAAACTTTGCTCTCCAATGACTGAGCTCTACATACAACAGTAATTATTGTGTATCTCGGGGTAAGGTGTTGAGAGTTGCAATCTCCTCTCAAAGGCAGAATAAGAGACCAACTCTCTCCTGGTAGTGTTAAGCTCTTGCGATGAAAATGCTCTGTTGTGTATATTCGTGTGTGCATGCATATACCTGGAGAAAAAAAATATACATAGATGTGTGCACATGAACACACACATTACTGACACACAGAGACGGATTTGAGTGGAGAAGGACCATTTAGATAAAATAGTTGGGATTATTTTCCTGAAGGTTGTACTCTTAGCAAGGAGGGTATGTAGTATTTAATTTCATAAAAGCCGTGTAGCACTGTAAATGAACTGGAAATGGGTTGCAGAAGGAAATCAAGAAAGTAAGTTAGAAATGGTTTATCCCGCTAATAGTCTGGTAATTTACTGGGTCATATATCAGGACTACCTTTTTTAGTAGAGGAAGAAAAATCACGTATTTGTCTGAGAGACTTTATGAGGTGAAGAAATGAGGTCAGCTCACTAGATTGGAGTAACTCTGTAACTCTTGTCCTAAGGCACTAGTGGATTAGAGTCCAGGATCAACAGGAGGCTCTTCACTGGAAGTGACTTCAGGAGCTGAGCTTATTCGTTCTTAAGTACTACGCCAGCATTTTTTACTTCCTGTAAACTAAACAGACTTGCCATACCAAGCATCTTATATGGGGCAATGGTGACAGCCTTAATCTATGTTCTGCAAACAATCTTCAGCCTTACTGTAAATTTCCCTTAACTAGCAAGAAACCTAGAAGCAGCTGCATACCAAGGATCTGGTAATTTTCTAGTGATGTTTGCTACTGACTACAACTCAACACCCAGAAAAGCCTCTCAAGGTAATAGGAAAAAAAGAGATGTGATTCTGTTTCTCACTTTTCAATCTGAGGCATATAACAGTATAAAGTTTTGCTAAGAAGGCTCTGCTTTGAACACTCAACCTCTAAATACTCTCCCCACTTGAGGGAGCAATGTATGAATACCATACATCAAAAAGGTTTATGACTTACAGCATTTCTTATACAACTCTTCTTCCCTGGCCAGGCAAGGTCCATTCTCTCCTTAATTTTTTTACAGTCACCTTTTACTTCTGACCTACAGCTCTCCCGTCTCTTTTACAGTATTGTCCAGAGCAAGCAATATTCCTTCATGCAAATTTTACTTCCCTTATCATTCTTAGAAATCTGCATTATCTGCAGGATACATTCACAGGAGCGGATACTGCAGCCTTTCCAGAGCTATCTGTTGGCACACCTATTCTTCTACGTTGCTTCCATTCATCCCTCACATTAAAATTATTACATTTTTTGAAAATGTAAAGCAGAAAGGTGACTGGCTCAGCAAGTCAATGTACTTTCAGCCTCCCAAGTCCAACAGTAATGTCGTACAAGTGCAAAAAGTAACTTCATATATTACACAGAGGCAAATAAAATCACTGTCCTTTTCTCCGTAAGAGGAACCCTTCAGACCCGGAGTAGCTTTGTCCCTGCTTCAGTTTCCTGATTTCCATGTAGGTAAGGCGGGTACAAAAACTATCTTTCCAGTTTCTGCTCCTGAAAGAAATTAGAGTTCTAGCAGGCTGGATTTCTCCCTTTTCAATTAAATATCTCCCCAGGCAGCCATCTGAGACCCAACTCTCCTGAAAGGCCAATCCTATTACTTGGCTATCAAACAAAACACATTTTCTAAGATATTTTTGTCCCTAACACTGTCAAAAGTTGTTTAAGTGTTGACATGTATCATTCACAGATTAACATCCCTCCTGTGTCAGTGGTACACACAGAAGGACCCTCGCTTACAAAATTACCTGCAAATTTTTGAAATCCTGGTTCAGAGCACACTGAAGTCATGGGGATGTTTTTTTAGAAGCTGACATTCACCTTGAATCGAGCTGACCTTGTATGAAGTAAACTGTATGAATGCACCTGTCATACTCAGTTTGCTGAGAGCACTGCTTTCAATTTAACTTCCACTGTATGTAATTAACGTGGCATAGTTATTAGCATTTAAATCTCCTTTTCTTTTGCTATTTCTATATTTAGATTTCCCTTCCCTCTCCCCCCCTGCCCCCAATATGTTTTAAAGAAGATTGACTTAGAAAAGCACATAGTTGTTAGTCAAGGATGGAATCGTATTTTTTAGTATGATGATTTATTTAAAGGACTAGGAATCAAAATGCAATTCACACAGTCATGATAAACATATGATTAATGTTAGCTATTTTTTTCCCACTGTAGTATTTTTCCTTTCACTTTCTTCTTTACAAATGCTTGAAAGTACCCACTAATTTTCTGATATCTTTGCTCAAGAAGCACAGGAGCAAGCGTCTATTCTTCTTAGCCAAACTTAGTGACTTAGGACAAGGATAAAGCTATTTGGGGTGCAATACCGACTGTGGCTGCCCAGCTTAACACTTGCGAAGAAGTAGTAGTGTATACCATCCTATTAAAAATGTAATGACAGGTCCTATATAGGGCAGCCTAACACAAGACGGGGCCTGGATTGTCATAAATACCGAAACGTGAGAGGACAGATTCCCCCACGCCCCAGTGCAGTGGCAAACGAGCACCAGCTCGGGCAGAGGAGTGGATACGTCAAGCGCTGAACATGTTCTCGCTGCAAACGCAGCAAGCGAGGATTGGGATGGCTGCATATCAGGGAGACAGGCTGACGGCGGGTTCGGATACACCGGGCTATCTGCTCGGTATCCATGCCGAGGTCACCAACACCGCTACAGAACCGCAGCAGTGCTGAGCACTGGCAGGGGCAAGGGTGCAGCCGGAGGTTCACCTGCCCGGAGCCCCGCCGGGAAGTCTCCCCTCCCCGCGGGGGTACGGAGGGGCTCCCGGGGGATGCCGCGCTCCTCCCGCGGTGCCGCTGCGGAGGCTCTGGGTGGCGGGGCCGAACCGCTGCGGCAGCGGCAGCGCCTCGGGGCGGAGGGACCGCGGCTGCCCTCGGCTGCGGGCGGCAGCAGCCGGGCCACCCGCCCCGCGCCCCGCTCCAGCCGCCGCCGAGCCGCGCTGCACTGCGCTTGGGGCTGCTGCACCTGAGCGGCCGTGTCAGCGCGGGGACAAACCACTGCCAGCCCCCGGACAATGCATTATATAATTTCAGATTATATAATCCTGAAATGCGAGGGGGAAAAAATTCCCCAAAACGACCCAAACCCTGCCGTCCTTGCGCGGGCATCTCCTGGGGGTGCGGCGCAGCCCGTGCTGTCGGGCGGCCGCCGGGGCAGGCACGCCGGCACCGGGCTGCCTGTGTCCTCACCGGCGCAGGAGCCGCAGTCCCCCCGCCCGGCGCGATGAGCCGGGGCAGGACGGCGGGGCACGGCTGGGCACGGTTCTCCGTCCCTTCCCTTCCCGGCGGAGGCGCCGACCGCGCCAGCCCGGCGCTGCGGGAGGGAGGAAGGGAGAGGGTCGCTCCCCGGAGAGGCGCTGTCTTACCTGCTCCCCGAAGTCGATGGCGATGTTGGTGATGCCGAGAGGGACCAGGAACCGGATCAGGGGCCAGTAGTTAGTGAGCGCTGGAAATTTCACCATAGTCCCAGCTGCGCGGTGACCCGCGGCGCATCTGCCGCGGCAGGAGACGGCGCGGGAGGACGGCGGGGGGGAAGGATGAAAGGGCACCGGAGGAGGGTGCGTGCGTGTCCCTGTGCGTGTGTGCGGGCGGGGAGGGGGTGGGGGGGAGATAAGGGAGAGGGAGAGGAGCAGCAGAGCCCCCTAAAAATAAAGAGCCGGGGAGCGGGCGGGGGGCCGGGCCGGTCCCTCCCTGCCCGGCGCGGCGCTGGCTGGGCGGCGGGGCGCGCTGTGCTGCCGCCTTAGCAGGAGACCCGAGAGATCAAGTCCATCCCCGCCGCCCTCCTCCCACACAACAATGATCCGCCGCCGCTGCCGCCGCCGCCGCCGCTGCCGGAAAAAAAAAGAGGAGGGACACCGCCGCCAGCCACTCGTGCGGGCAGCGCTGCCATCCTCGGGGCGCGGGGGCCAGGGGAAGGGCCGGGCCGGGCCCCCCCCCGCCTGACGCTCGCCGGCGGCGGGGCGACGGCCGCGGCGCCGCGCAGGAAAACACCGCCCTCCTCCTCCTCCTCCTCCTCCTCCTCCTTCTTCTCCTCCTCCTCCCTGCCGCCGCCGCGGGGACGGCGCAGGCCGCGGTGCGTGGCGGCCGCCGGCGGGGCTGCCCGTGCGGGCGGCGCGGGGCCAGCGGCGGTGCGGGCCCGGCGGCAGGGCCCGGCCGCGGGGCTGTGCTCGGGCTGCGCGGGCTGGCGGAGCACGTGGGTTTGACACACGCTCGCAGACGGGCGGCGGCGGCGGCGGCGGGGGAAAGAGCGGCATCGAGCGGCTCCTCCCGACGCCGGAGCGGCCCTGCTGCGCCCCCCGCCCGCGGCCGTGGCGGGGCCGGGCCGCGCTCGGCACCTGTCCGCACCCCTTCACCCCGCCGGTGGTACCGATGGGTGCCTTGGGCTTCCCCCATCTGCGCGCCCGGCGCCCTCCCGTGCAGCCCGGGGCAAGGGAAGGCGCTCCCCGGCCGTGGGCTTCGGGCCTCGGGCAGGGCACTCGTGCAGCTGCAGGAAAGGTGGGAGTCCTGAACGAAGCGTCAACCAGGGTGTCTGACCCACAGCTCTTCTGGTCAAAAACCTGAAATAAATAAATCTTGAACGTTTGGCAGTGTAACATCATCTTTCAAGATCTCTGCCCGAGCTGTGGGCAAGGGAATGTGCTTTTGGCCCAAGGGAGCTTGCAGGAGGGCCATCGCTGGCTGGAGAACTTGGCTGCCTTCTGAGCCGGGGCCGTGGCAAACCACGAGGTTTTGCCAGGCTAAGGGTGGGAGAAAGACGAGAAGGCAACCCCCTTCTGAGCAACTTGCAGAAGTTTCTCAGCATTTCCAAAATTTCAGGATGGTTTCAAGGTTTCATTGTAATTGAGTTTCGCTTATTTAGGGGCATTTAGGTTTATGGTGTTATCTTCACCTGGCCCCCTTCAAGGAGAGTTGGCAAATATTTTGGGAAGGTGATAACCCTGTGAGGAGTCAGATACCTGTATCTGATCCTCAGAGGAGCAGTGACCAGCAGAGGAGAGCTGCAAAGCCTCCCTCTCCCACAGACAACAGTATTAAATATTCCTGTGACCAAGTACCATTCCAAGTATTTGGAGAGTCAAGGGCGGGGAGCTGTGAAAATCCTTGGTAGGCAGATGACAGGCTGTGGGGTGAAGGAGCCCCTAACTCCTGGGGTGTTTTGGTAAAGTCAGCCCCAGTTGTGCTGGAAATTTTTTCCTCCTACAGCTGGAGTTTGTCTCAGATAGCAACCCTTGAGCTGGAGCAGCCATCGTTGTGAGCACAGAGGAGCAAACTCAAATGCTTACAGGAGAGTAAACCTGCCTTCATCCTGTAGATCACTTACAATACCACGGGCATGGCGTCGTGGAGTGAAGCAGAGAACAGGAGAGGACCATTAACCGAGAAGAGGGAAGCAGAAATTGTTTATGAGTGTCTAAGAATGTCTTTGGATTAACAGCACCAAATCTTCATCTTCCTGCGGGAGAGCTAATCATCTCCAGATGGACCAATGGTTCATCCATCGGACATCTTCGAACCGTGCCCAGTGAGAGGGAACATTCAATCTCCAGCCAACCTGACTAAAGCTGGACTTGAAGTAGAAACTCTTAGACATGCAGGGGCCTTATGCCAGCTGCCTTGTTTTATTTGTTTGCTTGCACTGAGCTGAATTCCCTGCCAATTTAGACATAGCCTTTGTGTACACTTAGGTGTAAGTTGCAGGTCCTTTTCTTTGAAGCAAGCCTTGTGCCTTTTGAACTCAAGACTGGATATATACTGAAGCATTAATTCAATATTATATTCTTTCTTCCTGAGAATGTGTATGGTTTTAGATAACTTTATTCCCAGTAACTAATTTCTTCCTGTCAGAACTAGATTTTATTGGCATTGAGCTCATTCCTCCCTGCCATGGGCCTGAGAACAACTTGTAGATGAAATTCTGGAAGAATATTTTTTAAACTCCATAGTTTAAAATGCTTTCTTTGTAAAGTGTTCGTCTTTTTTTTTCAGTTTAGAGAGATTCTTTATTTAAGGGAAAAAAACTTTTAGTGCTGTTTTTGAGTCAGAGAAAAGTAAAAGGGAATCCCCAAAGCCACTTGTAAATATATGATTTTAACTTGCCGTTTGAAAATTCCAGATGAGCTGATGTTTGAGAACTACCTCTTCTAATTCCTGGCAAAAACAAGCCATCCCAAAATTAAAGCTTCTTGAATCAAAACGTTTGGACACTGTGTGTCTCACAGTGCAGACTATAAAAATACATAGTGATTATTTGTCCCAAAGTCATGTTCAGTCCTGGAAATACTGAGAAATCCAAGTAGTTTAATGTAGTATAAGAGAAGTGTATCCATTTGGGGGCTTTTAATGTATTCATAAGGTAGTTGATACCTTTTCATTCCACCAGATAATGAATCCTGCCCCTTACATCTTTAATTAATTTGATCGGTCACTTGAGGGCCATGGTTAAATTTTTACCTTCCTGCTTCTCAAAGCAGTATAGTTTTATTTTAAGAGTAGTTTTACATTTTGCCTCCTCATATGTACTAGAATGTCCTGGGCAAGTGTTAACCTAACTGATGCTTTCTTGAGTTCTATATTTTAAAATCATTAAACCTACTTAATAAACCCTTAGACAATGTTTTAGGTTTTAGGTCTCTCTGCTTCCCATTCATGTCTTCTTTTTCTGGGCTGACTGTAGTTTTTGTGTGCTTTTCTTTCAGCCCAGGTCATATTTGCTCCTTGGATTCATTACAGAAACAAAATTGTGTTTGCAACCAAAGAACAAGGATGGTTTCTCACATCTTGAAGTCAGTAGTTTGCTCAGCTGATGAGCTGAGGAAATAGGTAATTTTTGCTGTATTAGGCAAAAAGCAGTGATTAGTAATCATTTCCTTTCTAACATATTTTCTGTTACACTACATTTCTTACTCATATACCAAACACTGTCTGTTTGTTTAATGGAATAAAAAGGACAGAGAGGACAGCAGGAAGTAATTAGCCATAATCTCACTGTTTTTTGTAGAAAAATCATCTGGTCCGGGAGTATCTCAAATGGAGCCATCTCACTGGAGAAGTTCATATGAATAGAGTACAGTGCTGCAATGTGTTACAGTGTATAAATGATGAAACGTATCACAAAACTCTCTTGTGCCTGGTAAGGAAATGTGTTTGTAATTACTGCTTAAACAACGAGGGCAAAGTCTGAAGGCATCCCCAGTAGCAGACAGAATCAGGACAACGTGCATTACTTTTACTCACACAGTCAGAAATCCAACAGGTAGATCAGCACATGAGATTTAACGTATTAGAGTCCCAGTCCTGTCCTGAGCTTAAAGGAGGCCTCTTACCACAAATACATTACATTTAAAGGACCCTGCTGCAGTATTGCCTTGTTTCAGAACGGTGCCTCTTTTTTCCTTGCTGAGGCTACAAGTCTTAGGTTTGTTTTTTAAATCACTGTACTTGGCCTTTCCATCTCTAGCTGGTTCTTTAGCTATTACCCCTGATATTTGGGGCTACTGGGTCTCTTTCAAAACTTTTCTTTGACATAGGATTGTTTTATTCCTATGATCTGGCGATTTAAAATCACTGATTGTATGAGAAACTCAAACCAGCAGATAACAAAATTTGTCAGCCAGTCATCCCGTAAGAGGACAGATGAGCTGGATTTCCCAGCCTAAAGAATTGCCAGTGATTGTGGTCTATGAATGGCCTTGGGCTTGGAGAGAGCAAATGATGACTGTCTTTTCCTATCTATTATCAGATAAAGTGGAAGGACATCTCCACAGTCATATTCTGCTTCTGTCTTGAGTTATTCCTCCCCCAGCAACAGCTGCCTCTTGCAAATTTAACTTTTCAGTTGGAAAGGAGTCTGATGCATATTTCCATCTCTTTACACCACAGTAGTTAAAACAATAAGATAGTTATTTTAAAATGTTGACAAACTATGAATGTTACTGAAGGAATGCTCAGAATGTGGGTCTTGTGCACAAAATGGAAAAAAACTCTTTCCCATTTAGCGATGAGGAATAAAAATAAAGAAATTCTTCACACTAATTTTTCTGGATACTGACCAGACACGCAGTTGTAAGGAGTCTTCAGGACCCACTTGAAGATCCCCTTCTGTCCCTGGACCTGAGTTCTGCAGAAAGCCTGTTTCCAGTGAAATGTGTGCTCAGCCTCTTGTCCTGAAAGGACTAAGGACAGCTAGAGGCACAACACTTTCTCTTACCAGGGGTCAACAAAGCCCAAATCACTACAAACACTGTGAATTGTGAAGAAGGCCTTTACCTCAAAGGGTAAGTGGAATTCTCCTTGTCTCACTCCTTGTGCATCAGCCTTAGGATCAAGGGGCACTAGGTTGTTGGGTTATGTGCCTGGCCATGGCTTCTGGACTGTTGCAGTTCATGACTGGAAAGACTACAGAAATACTGCAGGAAAAAACGGAATATTTATGTAGTATTTTATTCTGTGAATTGGTAGGGTTGAATGGAAAGATCAGAAAACAGCCAAAGGAATTGGGTTGTCAGTCAGACAAGTGTCTAATACAGTTCTGATTTAGCTACATTTCTGTGTGAAGAATAAAAGTT